GTCTCCGCCTGCGCCTGCCACATGTCTCCTCTGAAAGAGTGGTTCTTTAAGTTGCAGGAATTGAATGGAGGTCTAGTAATGATGGAAAATAGTGGAACCTGTCAAATAAAAGGAATTGGGGAGGTTAAACTAAGGTTAGGAGATGGTTCAGTCCAGATTTTGAGCAGAGTAAGGTACATACCAAACTTAAAAAGGAACTTGATATCTCTCGGGGCTCAAGATAAGCAGGGACCCAGCTCTAATTCTCATGAAGGGAAACTTTAGGTCTGTAGAGGAAAGCAAAGGATTCTAACTGGAAATCTGATGGGAGGGCTATATGTGTTTGATGGGATGACAGTGACTGAAGAAGGACAAATGGTTGAGGTTCAAGATGAGACAATGTTGTGGCATCGCAGGCTAGGACACATGAGCAACAAAGGCCTGAAAAATTTTGCTAAAAAGGGGCTCCTCGATAGAAAGAAAGTAACAAGTGTAGAATTTTGGGAAGACTATGTATTTGGGAAGACACACAAGAAGAGCTTTCCCAAAGGGAAACAGACATCAAAAAGCATTATGGAATACACTCACTCGGACATTTGGGGAGCTCCTACAATCCCACGTCATTAAGTGGAGCACAATACTTTATGTCCTTCATCGATGACTATTCTCGGAAAGTCTGGATATATGTGTTGAAGACTAAAGATGAGGCATTCCAAAAGTTCACAGAATGGAAGAAACTAGTGGAGACTCAAACCAAAAAGAAGATCAAGCACTTGAGAACCGACAATGGGTTAGAGTTTTGCATCAGAGATTTGACAGATTCTATTCAGAACAAGGAATAGCCAAACACATAACTTGCACATATACCCCACAGCAAAACGGCATTGCAGAGAGAATGAACAATAATGAACAATGTGAGGAGTATGCTAAGTGTCTCAGGTCTTGGTCAAGAATTCTGGGCTGAGACAACCTCTACAGCATCTTACCTGATAAATAGGTCTCCTTCGATGTTATAGACTTCAAAATTCCGGAAGAAATGTGGAGGGGAAGTCAGATATCACTAGAAAACTTAATCAGATTCGGTGCTCTAGCCTATATCCATACGAATCAAGGCGAATTAATGCCAAGAGCAATGAAAACAGTGTTCATTGGTTATCCTCTTGAAGTAAAAGGCTATAGGGTATGGCTCCTAGAGGAAAACAAAGTACAGATAAGCAGGGATGTAGTGTTCAAAGAAGAGGAGACCTACAAGGACATAGTCAAGCCATAATCAAACAGAGAAAATGACACAAGGAAACTAAAGGACATAACAAGATTTGGGCTGATAGGCCAAACCAAGAGTTTAAGTACATCAGAACGGGAACAAGGACTATCAGATCCAGGTGGAGCAATCTCACTCTCTGAGAATGATGATTCAGGATCAGATTCTGAAGAAAGAGTACAACAGCTAAACACATATCAGGAATTGGAGAAACTAGAAGACTCTGAACAAGAAACAACAGACCTAGGATCTTATCAACTAGCAAGGGACAGGGTCAGAAGAAGAATACTACCTCCAAAGAGATATAGAGAAGAAGACACAACAACATTTGCTTTCTCAGTAGCAAAGGATATCGAGTTGGATGAACCAAAGAATTATTTGCAGGCTACGCAAAGTAGAGATAAAGCCGCTTGGATTAAGGCAATGAAGGAAGAGATGAAATCTTTGAGTGACAACAAAATATGGATCTTGGTTGACATGCCCTCAAATCAGAGAATTATCGAGAGTAAATGTGTTTTTAAGAGAAAACCTGGCATCCCAGGAGTAGAGAAACCAAGATTCAAAGCGAGATTGGTAGCAAAGGGATACTCACAAATCGAAGGGATAGACTTTCATGAGGTATACTCACATGTGGTTAAGCATGTCTCTATAAGGCTATTACTTGCAATATTGCGTGTTTCAGAACCTTGAACTACAATAACTCGATGTGAAGACGACATTCCTACATGGAGATCTAGAAGAACAAATTCTCATGGAACAACCAAAAGGATTTCATGAAAAGGGGAATGTAGAAAAGGTATGTCTCTTGAAGAAATCACTATATGGATTAAGACAATCCCCAAGACAATGGAATCTCAAGTTTGACATCTTCATGCTGAAACGAGGATTCCTGATAAGCAAATTCGATCACTGTGTGTACTTCAAGAAAAATTAGAAAAGGACATATATCTCCTGTTATATGTGGATGATATGTTGGCGGCTTCAATTAATATAGAAGAGATCCAAAGATTGAAGAAACTTTTAAACCAACAATTTGAAATGAAGGATTTCGGTGCTGCTAAAAGGATTTTGGGAATGGATATCAGGAGGGATCGACACTGTCACAAACAAATTATCTGGAGAGAGTTCTCAGTACATTTCGAATGGCATACTCAAAAGCAGTAAGTACAGCAATGGGAGCTCATTTCAAGCTCAGAAGCTTGGAAAGTAATGACACGAGTTTGGATTTTGACTCAACACCATATATGAACACAGTAGGCAACTTAATGTACGCAATGATTGGGACACGTCCTGATTTAGCATACATCGTTGGCCTAGTCAGTAGGTTTATGAGTAATCCTGGAAACGAGCATTGAATGACTGTGAAATGGGTTATGCAGTACATCAAAGGCAGTTTGGGTTTGAAACTAAGATATACTCGAGGAAAGGTCTTCCAGGTAGAAGGATTCTGTGATGCAGATTATGTTATAGATCTAGACACAAGGCGTTCAATCACGGGTTACATATTCTCTATAGAAGGTAACGTCATCACTGAAGCAGAATACATGGCACTAGCAGAAGCTTTCAAGGAGGCTTTATGGCTTAAAGCAAATGAATTGGGAATTCAGCAGAAGACAATGAACATTCATTGTGATTCACAAAGTGCAATTTGTCTGGCCAAGAACAATGTTCATCACGAGCGCACGAAGCACATCGATATCTGATTACATTTTTTGAGAGACATCGTAATGGAAAATTAGGTGAAAGTGTTGAAAGTCCGTACTGAAGACAATATGGCAAACATGTTAACCAAAGCCTTGCCAGTAGGTAAGTTTAAACGCTGCTTGAACTTATTGAAAATCACCGAATAATAGGTTAAACAAAAGAGAGAGATCAATAGGCAATCCACTGAAAGGTTCGGTCTATTTCTGTAAGCTTCAAGGTGGAGTTTGTTGTATCTGAAGCATCAGAAACAGAGACTCTAAAGTTCTCGTTTTGTATCAGATTTCATTTGAGAAATCCTCTGGTTAAAGCAAAAGGTTTACAGGAAACCAAAACCTGGGTCATTAATTGGAGAATTGCGATCGGTTTATTTTGGGACGAATTAAACTCTGGTTTGGTCGATTTGGTTGTTAGACTCGGTTAATGAGTCTGTTAGATCAGTTATCTTCTTCTCCTGGTATAAGAAGCAGAGCTCTTGTCAATGGCGAATCCCAATCTTCAGTTTTTCTTTTGCTCTTGTTCTGGGAGTGTGTTCATCGTTTTTCGTTTTCTCTCTTCAATTCGAGCTCAATCGCTCTCAACGAGATCAACATTCACAGTTGAGAAGTGACAAAGTCATTTTCAAAATCATGGGTTTGATTTCACTGGTGGAGAAGAGGGGCGCAATTAATTGCGTGACTAAAGATTGATTCTTGACGCAGGAGGATTAAGTGGGTCGAAGGCCCAGTGAACCTCTCGGTTATAAAAAAAAACAATTTCTAGTGAGCCTATTATTATCAAATATACATAAAATATTTCGTGTAGTCAATCTTTCAGATATTGGAGGATGCACCCAACAAGAACTACTTCAACGTATTGCGATACATTCCGATGATGTTGAATGCGGCGTGGGAGCTTACAAGGAGCTTTATAATCCAATTTTGGAAAGGAAAAGACTACAAAGAGAATTGGTTCATGAGGCTCGCTAGGGTTGCCGGTTTGATATTTCCCGGTATAGTTAACCACTTTCCACCGGATTACGTGAACTCCACGCGCCTTGGATGATTCTAAAATATTAAATTATATGCACCACTAGTTTGATGTAATATATACATATATGTATGTATGTATATATATAAAGTGTGTTCATTAAGAAACTAATCATATGGAGTGTGCTCTAAGAACTCTATCACCTTGATTGGTATTGGACCGTCGAATATGATTGTATTCTCGCTTTGGATTTCTTGTGTGCATCTGTTTGTATGTTTAAACAATAAAATGGACTACGTGAAACTATGTGTTTGTCTCTATTTGTGGTTCCTTCTATCGAAATTTATTGTGTTGATAATCGCCCTTCATATTCATGAAATTGTTAAAAGCTATTCATTTAATTTTGATTTTTTTATAATCCGTAAGTTTCTCGGATATTTGGTCCAACTAAATCTCTGAGAAGACTGAAAAGTTCCGGATGAATGTTCCTCGCCACGTTTAGATTTGAATCCATTATAAAAATATATTTTACATATTCTTTTATAGACCATCTAAATTTTAATTTTAATTTTGATTATTGACGGTAAAAAGAGAAAACTTTATTATATTTTAATCATCATGAATTTCGTAGTTTGAACCTTCCAATACGTGCAAACGATTACTTTCAAACGCGCTTTTTGGTTTGGTAAATCGTTTTAAACGTGATTTTTCAAAACCTCGCTTAAAATAATATTTATTTTTTATGTACGTAACATCAATCAAATGGTCCAAAACAATTGTATTTTTACATGGTAATATTCAAAAATAGACCAAGGAAATTCACACATGAAAAAGAAGGGTCAACTTTTCCCCCCTTCTCATGTTTGGTCCAACCCAACTCATCACGATCTATATATCCCTAACTTGCCATATTAACAATTTATAATTTCTCCGTGGCCTATATACATACATATATATATATATATATATTATTGTATAGTAATACCACTCTACAAGCCATCGTGACTTAGCTTTCACAGGAACTATAAGTTTAATCCGTTCTTTCATCGCTCCCTTACGTTGGCAATCTCTCTCTCTCTCTCTCTAGTTCTTGCTTCTTCATCTTTCTTCTTCACCGTTTTTCAATGGAGAAACTGGGCGAGAGACATTGCAAGGACTATTTCCTCTTGGATCCGAGGGAAGCCACTGTCGGAGATCTCCTTCGGCTTCTGTTATCTTCCGATGTGGGAGAGAGAAAGTTCGTAGATTGTCCGGCGGAAAAGCCCATAAGCCCATTCGGTTTCCGGCGGCGTTGGCTCATTTTCGTCTCCGTCGTAGTTCAGAAACTCTTTATTTTCCTCAGAAAGCCTTTGGCTCTATTAGGGTTTTGTCTTGCATTTTGGCTCAACCTTCTTTCCTCCAATGGCGGCTTCCTCATTGACGGTTGAAACACCCGGTGAAAGGGTGTATGTGAGAAAAGACATAACCGTAGGATATAACCATTGTACCGGTTGTGTCTCTTGCATAAACACCGCTTGAATCCTATAAAAGTATAGGTTCTATATGACAAATGGAGATGCAGAAAACATCATAAAAGAAAACGTGAATCAGTTTTGGTGAGTAGCATTTGGGTTGTGAATCTGCGATTCCGACTCTGGTAGCCGGTTTCCGACCATTGTCCAGAGTATTTGAAGACTGTGATTTCAACCAAAGAAAAGATCGACTGAATCGGTACGCGACTATCCTTCCGTTTTCTTACATTGGTATCAGAGCATCAATGGTTGATTTTCTGTCTTCGGTGGTTCTGTGTTTCTGCCTCTATTCTCTGTATTCGTTCGTTCTGTGTGTCTCGATTCTCATCTTCCTGTCTTCGAGAAAATTGTGAATCTCGTCGGATTATGATGAGGATCCGACAGTCACGCCTCTCTTTCGCAAGATTCATCGTGTTCTTTTCCGGTGATTACCGGTGGTTTGAAACGACGACTGAGAGGCAGAGAGGCGGACATGAGAGACATAAAAGAGAAAGAGGAAGACGCATTTTTTTGGAAACCCTAAATTTTTTCCAATTTTTCCAAGTTGGGCCAGCGCTAATGTTCATAAGATTAATTGTTCCCAATTTTTTTAAATACTATAATGGGCCGTCATTTTTTTAATGGGCTGCATGTTTCATTTTTTTTGAAAGTTTGCACTCAGACGTATGCACGTACATTTAGAAGTGTAATATGTGCATAATATATGTATAAATATATAATAGATAAAAAAAAAAAAGGTTAAATAAAATAAAAGTATGCGTGTTTGAGTGACACATGTATATACGGCTAGCATGCACAGTATGCCTTTGAATAAACTTAGTACATGTGTCGTAATTTTTTTTTGCGTACTTGGTTTAATGCATCAGTTTTGAGATTTGGAACATGTATGACATGCATGAGTTTGAATGAATCAATTAGCAAATATACAGTTTTTTTTAAAGAAAATAATACTGTAATATGATGTTTATTCGTATTGATAGTTATTTGATCAATACTTAGTCTCGATTATTCGCATCGTGAAAATTATCGAACCGTGGAAAAATTTAGGTTTGTAGATATAGTTCTTGCCTAAATTAAAATTTCGGTCATTTTGAATTAATTGATGGTGATCAACTTTTAATAATGGAAGATGATTGAGTGTTTAACATTTTTTTCGATTCCATGTAGATGTTTGGTCATTATTAATTAGTTAAAGATTGATCCGAAATGAGTTTATACTAGTGGTTAATTTCTGTGCACTTGTCTGTGTGTAGTGTGTGATGGCTACAAGTAAGACCATAATTGCTGACCTCAATCAAGGAGACAAACTGAATGATAAGAATTACGATGTTTGGCATCGAAAAATTCAGTATCTCCTTGAGGAGCAAGATATGCTGGTGAGGTACAACTGAATCCATTTCCATAGGATTATATTTAACTCGATCTATCTCTTTAGGACTAGATTCAGCTGGAACATCACTCCCACTAATCTCGAGAGGTATAGTGTTCTCCTCCTTTTCCTCAACCGATTGAAGTGATGACTCACTCAGAGGACTTTCAAGTTCATAAAACCGCGAGTCTTCTGAGACCTCTCTTCGTTGAGGAAACTCATCCTCTAGGAATGTAGCATCTCGAGACTCAATTTCTGTTACACTTCCATCAGCATTTTCACCTATAAACACATAGCCTTTCGAGAGATCAGAATATCTGATAAAGATACACTTTTTCCCTCTAGGACCCAACTTCCCAAACTTATGGGACGTGATGTGTATATAGGCAGCTGATCCCCATGGTCGTAAATTACTTAACTCAGGTTTTCTACCTGTCCATAACTCATAGGGTGTGGAAGGTACAGACTTTGAGGGGACCCGATTTAAGATATACGTTGCTGTCAACAAAGCGTCACCCCAATAGGAGATAGAAATATTTGCTTGAGACATCATCGATCTTACCATGTCAAGCAAAGTTCTATTCCTTCGTTCTGCAACACCATTTTGTTGCGGAGTTCTAGGAATAGTCAACTGTCTCATTATGCCTTTTTCATCACACAGTTCTTTGAATTGACTCGATAAATATTCGCGTCCTCTATCGGTCCGAAGAGCCTTAATGCTCTTACCGAGTTGATTCTCTGCCATCTTCATAAATTTGATAAAGCAATCTAACGCTTCAGATTTATGGCGAATCAGGTATACAATACCATAACGCGAAAAATCATCGATAAAAGTGATGAAATATAAGGCACCATGTCTTGCCCTCACATTCATTGGTCCACAAATGTCAGAATGGATAAGCTCTAAAGGTGTGGTAGCCCTTTTACCAATTCCAAAAGGCTTTCTTGTGGCCTTTCCAGCTAGACAATGCTCGCAGACGGGCATTTCCGTTTTAGCGATCCGGCCTAAGAAACCTTCTCTAGCTAATCGGTTCATTCTTTCTTGCCCTATATGCCCTAGTCTAGCATGCCACTTGATGAAATCAACATTTTCATCAATACTAGAAGAAGAAGAAAAATATGAAGAATGAATCGCATTATTATTAGAAGAATCAATGTCTAATACCATAAAACCATTACATAAATAACCACACCCATAATATGTAGTTCCCAAATACAACTTAACACTTATATCAACAAACTCAAACTTAAAACCTAGACTTAGAAGGACCAATACAGAGACAAGATTTCGTCGAACTTCTGGAGCATATAAAACATCATGGAGATACAATATGCGTCCGCCTCGCATTCTCAACATGCAAGTTCCGATGCCAAGGACTTCTGCACTTGAATTGTTCCCCATATATATTCGTCTGCTTCCCGATGGAATCCGACGAA